TTTATAGGCATTTTCCCAATTTTTTTTCTATTATAAATTTTTGTCTTTTTTAAAAAACATAGAATTTACAAATAAAGCTCATGATATATGCATGTCAATTGACTTACCTTCTTTCTTTTTTGCTGTTCCACTACAAAACTGTCAAGGAAAAGACAAGTAAAAAGACCTCCTCTAGAACCTTCTCAGAACAATTGCATTGGATACAAATTATCTCTTTTATTTGGCAGCAATACAAATCCATGTATTTATATTCCATGTTAATGTACTTCCAATGCAAATTACATTTCATTCCAGAAAAGATTTGATGAAGTTTTCAGCAAATTTGTTTCAGCAACCAAGAATATTTAATTGAAGCTGAAATTATGTAATTAAAAGCACTGTTTCTTCTTCCTCATTAACTAAAAGTACATTTGATCAAAATGTTTTGATTTTTGTGGGGGGCACATTACTGGGGATTGAACCCATTTCCCTAAGCTACTAAGGCTGGTCTTGAACTTGTGATCCTCCTGCCTCAGCCTTCCAAGTCACTGGAATTATAGACGTACACCACCATGCATGCCACCATGCCCAGCTTGTGTTTTTGATTAATTTGCAAATTCAGGTAACACACTTTGTGAAATTATTTCTTCTTGTGATATCATTAACCAGTACATTGTGAAATTCTGTTGCATTACCAAAGACTCACTTTTCCATGTAGCCAATGTGTCTGTCCTCTCACTTGCGTCACACTTGCCACCCATCCAGGACCAGCTGCACTGATATCTCTGGGTTATGCAATCCCAAATTCAGCAAACAGCTTTTTGGAGCAGAAGGGACACTGCACTGTCTTTTTGAACCCATTTCTAAAATACTATTTGTTAGACCCATGTGTCCTCAGAGTAGTAATCCTTGCCTATAAAACTCTATTCTCAGGGGCTGGGGGTATAGTTCAGTGGTAAAGCATTTGCCTAGCATGAATAAGGCCCTGGGTTCCATTCTCAGCACTGCAAACCAAACCAAACCAAACCAAACCAAACCAAATTATTCTCAGGAAGCCATTGGGTTCCTAGGGAGTTACCTTTAGAACAAAGTTTGCACGGGCACTTTTTTGATTCAGTGTTGACTAGAATGATTTTCTAATCAGTTCTCTGAGCACCTGGGGAATGTTAAGCATTTTACCATGTTTACATTTGTTTATCTACTGTTAAAATGAAGAAAGTAGAAAGAGGCAATTTTGGGAGGGATTCTAAGCCAATGAGAATTTTATACAATATGGGAAGAGATGTATTCCAAGAGTAAGAACTTCTAGTCTCTGCAACTCCCTTGCTTTGAAAAGGAAGCTTTCTGGGAGGTGTCACTGCACAGCATGATGGCTAAGAGTTGGAACTGGACAGAACTTTGTCCAACCAGACTCTTCCCTTAGGTCCTGTATGATTTGGGGCAAGTGAGTTGGCCTCTCTCTGTGCCTGAGTTTCTTCATGACTCCCATGTACACTGTGCTAGGCATGGGGTTTCAGCTGGCAAGCCAGCCAGGGAACAAATGGATGACAGTTTGTACAGAAAAGGTAACTTTGCAGATTAGGGGTTAATAATTTGAGCAAAATCCTGATCGTTTTGTAGTTTACAGAATAAATGGAGGCTGGGGGTCTCAAGGAGAGGTGGATGAGAAGAGAAGTGTAGAAGGCATGGCTTGGGATTGTAGAGAGTTTGGAACAGCTTTTGTAGGACAGGACAGGAAGGGATGAAAGAAAGACAAGACAAAGCATTAGGTTGGGGACTGATGGCCTAGCAAGGGTGAAAATCCCCCATTGGAGTAGCAGCCTCATTTAGCACAGGGACTTCAAGGAAGCTGCTGATGCAGCTATCCCATGGCTGGGATGACCTTAAGAAAGGTTATGTGGCTCACTAAAGGTCATACAGGGACTTTGACACAAATATCCTGGCTCCAAGTCCAGTGCTTTCTCATCTCTAACAGGAGCTGGGTCTGTGCTCAATTAGGTTTTCTTTTCCTAGTCTGTAAAAGCCCCAGGACTAACTGGTAGTGCCAGACTGCTATAGGTTCCAGCTTGTTAGTTTACATGTCACTCTGGACAAACTCTCTGGTTTGTTTCTATAGTTAATTGTCTTCCTTAAGCCCAAGTTCCAAAGTGCAGATGCTGCAGAGCGCTTAACTACCAGGCTGTGTTACTTTCATAGCACTCACTGTGGCCAGGAAGGTCTGTTCTGTTGTGCACTCAATGCTACTAATAAGTCCTGTCAGATATTTCAGTCATCAACCTCGAATCATTTAAAGCAATTCGCAATAATCCAACACCATAAGCAAACAAGGCTGGAAGTTGGAAAAGAAAGGGAATAAAACAGTGTGGAAAATGAAAATAAATTTAGGCAGGCTGAAACACAGCAATGGGAAGGCAGTGGCTGAGAGTAGCTGTCTTAATTGGACCAAGTTCCTGCCAAATTGCCACGTATTAGCTCTTTGCTGTAGGCCACTAAATACTTCTTTGATTTTCCACTTTTTAATAAAATGCTAACGAACGGTAGATATGCCCTATAACTTATTAGGAGCCAGGGGAGCAGAGAGGCTGACTTGGAGTTACAGTTTTCATCAGTGCGTCTTCCAGGACGTCATTGGGGATGGCTTCCCTTGGCGGGAGGGCAGGTGGGAATTAAAACAACAAAAACAAAAATCAGGCATAAGCTTGTTGTTTTTTTCATCACTGTCACTCCAGTACGTTCGAATTCGATGAGAAGCTGCTGACGTCCAGCCCCAAGCGCGGCCCGTCCGTCCCGTAGGCGGCTCGGGGCGCAGCCGCCCTCCGGCTCCTCCAGCGCTCAGCGGCCAGGAACCGACTTCCGCCGTCCCGGCGCGCTGACCTGGCGGGCGGGCGCAGCGCGCTCCCGACGCCAGGGGCGCTCCTGAGCGGCGCGGGATGGGCGGGAGGGGTGGGCGGAGCGGAGGGCAGGACGCGGCCAACCCGAGTGTTAAGCGGCTGCCTTGGCCGCCCTGGGTAGCAGAGAGGGCGGCGGAGCCTGAGCAGGACGTAGCCACGCCAACGCGGCGGTGAGCGCAGCCCGCCCGGAGGAGGGAGCGGGGCGCGGGCGGGCCCCGGCCCGGGCGACGTGACCTTTCCGGGCGGCGGGTGACGGCGCACACGTGCCGCGGGCCTCGCGCGCTGTCCCGGGACTGGCCGGCTGCGGCTCATTCGAGCTTCTCCTGCTCCTGGGCCTCCTTTCCGCAGGGCCCACCTGGAAAACGGTGTCCTCGCCTGCCCCCAGGTCGAGTCATCTGGCCTCGGGGCGCGCGCCGCCCGTGCTCGGGCGCTGGGAGCTCCGGGGCGCTGATGAATGGGAGGCTGGCAGGTTCCCCGGAGTGGCTGCGGGGCTGGGACAGCATTCGGACCCGGGAGAGAAAGCTGGAAATGGACCCCCTAGTCTGCGTCTTGCTCGATTCCCTAGTGGCGCGCGGGGTTTGCATCCCAGCGCCTTGTGCCCGGTTTGGGGGCTGGGGTGGCGGGTGGGCCGGTGGCCTCCAGCGTCAGCCTGAAACTGGAATCCTGTGGCAGTTCACCTTCCTTAATGGAAAATGTGGCCTTATCCATCCTCCCGTCCGAGAAATTAATTTCCCCAAGAACCAGAAAGAAGTACGGCCAGCGCCGCGGTTTCTGTCTGCCAAGTCATAGTTTGAAAGAGGGGATTCAGTTTTTCTATCCCAAGTGGTACAACAAGCTCATCAATTTTGATGCATAATGATCAGTCTTGCCTCCTCCGAGTTTTGTCCTCTCCAAGCCATAGCCACGTATAACCTGAATTAATTGTGCACATCTTCTGAGTTCATCTGTTAGTACTTACCATTATTTTCTATAATTCTACAAGCAGTTATTTGTAGGATTTAATGTGTTTAAATTTGACTTACCTACAGGAGTTGAGTTCACACTGACAAAATAGTATTAACTGCTGTGCTTTTCTTTACTTCTAAGTAAGGAAAGAATTGTCCACACAGAGACAAACGTCTTGAGGTGTATCTGAGAGGCCACCTTGGATGTGCTCTGTGCCTCTGCCTCCCAGTTGCTTGTTTCTTCTTTGAAATATACGGCTGAGGTGTTTCGGGGGCTTTTTGTTTGTTTTGTGTTGTTGTTTTGGCCAGATTGGACTACTTTAGAATGGGAATTGGTTTGTAGGTATAGTCCTGAAAGACAAGCCTTTTTAAGTTGAATCATGTCTGTGTCACTGACTAGTTCTGTGACCCTGAAGATGACCTTGCCTTCCTTTGGTCTCATTTTTCCTTGTGGAAGATGAGGAGAATGATAATCTTTTCTAAGTAAAAGTTGGAGAGTCACCACTTTATTATCCTAGTAATGGTCTGTCTCTCCAAGCCTACCAGTAACCATGAAGCACATCTTGTACTTCAACCTTGAATGCTTTATTAACTATTGCGTTTTTATTGCTGGTTAATTTTTTTTTTTTTAATAAAGGAAGCTTCTTGGAGTTTGGTCATTGGCAAAATGCTTCAAGTGGTTTAAAAACTTCTTTGTGGTTACCATTATTTTCTGTTGACATTGATCCAGTGTACCGACCTGCTCCTCAATGTGATGAGGAATGAAATTTGTTCTCTGCTATTCATGAATATGTCACGTAGTTTTAAAACCATACAGAATTGGTTATTTTAGTCTTCTATGTTAAGTAGCTGCCTCTTTAAATTTCCTGGTTAATATTTATTAAGTCCATATCTCAGCAATAGTTGATTTTTATCCAAAGATAGAATAGACTGCAGTTTCTTCAAATACTATAGGCTCCAATCCAAATACAGTAAATCAAGATTTCATGGAGAGAGGCCTGGTAATTTGAACATTTAACAAGTATTTCCAGGTAGATTTTTTTATCAAGCAAATTTGGGATTCAGTGGCCCAGATACTGCATTTCAAAGTGTGTTTGTTGGGCAGGCATTATCAGCCTTACCTGGGAACTAGTTGTGACCACAGACTCTCTGGTTCCACCTAAAGCCTACTGAGTCAGCATCTGTATTTTTAACAAGACCCTAGGTGAATTGTGTGCACAATAACTTCAAGAAGTGCTGGAGAGGAGGTAGGTTATAAGTACGCAGTTGGTTCTCTATGCTGGGCTTTGTTTTGAGAACTTGTGATCCATGTTCATGTCATCCCCATGTGACTATCTGTGATTGACTTTTATATATATATATGTATATAATATATAAAAGTTGGTCACAATACCTTCATTTATTTAGTTTTATTTATTTATTTATGGTGCTGAGGATTGAACCCAGGGCTTCCACGTGCTAGGCAAGTGCTCTACCGCTGAGTCACAACCCCAGCCCCTCACTGTATTTTTAATATTCACCTTGTACAGGTAAGGACCTCTAGCTTTAGGGGTATAACGGGCCACCTTGCCAGAGGAGGCATCGACACTCAGGGACATGGAACTCCACAGAGCTAACCTCTGCTACCTGGGTGTTCTTTTCCAGGCCTCCTTTTAGGCACCCAGCAGCACAGAACCTTCTTCTGAACCCAAAAGTAGTGGGCAATGAATCACTCAGCTTCATTGTCTATCTTGAATCTCCCTCCTTAGGAGTCTGAGCATGGGGGATTGCAGGCATGGTGGTGCATGTCTATAATCCCAGTGACCCTGGAGAATGAGATGGGAGGATTGCAAGTTTGAGGACAGTCTCAGAAATTTAGTGAAATCCTGTCTCAAGAATTTTTAAAAAGGGCTGGGGGATGTAGCTTAATGGTAGAGGGCCCCAGGGTTCAATCCCTAGTTCTGCAAAATTCAAATAAGAACCATGGGGGTCTACAAAATCCAGGCTAATGGTGAACTCTTGCCTCTTCCCAGGGATATGCAGTACCTATCATAAGCTCCTAAGAGTTGCCTTCCACGTAGCCCAGCAGCACCATGAAATCCAATCCTGCCATCCAAGCTGCCATTGACCTCACAGCAGGGGCTGCAGGTAATCCCAGTAAAAAAACCAATGTTCTGTTTCCTCAAGTACCTTCTCTGCAAGATCAAGTGAAATTGGTATAAAAATATTCCCTTTGTCATCCTAGAAATAATATGCTTAGCCTCAGAGTGAATTTATTAAATGGAAGTATAATATTTTTCAGAACGTGGCAGACAGTAGAGTAATATTCTTTATATTAAAACTTTGAATCAGGAAGAAAGGTAGGAATGTCCCCAATATATTGCTAGAAAACAGCTCAGAGATGAAATCACTTACCCACTGTCACACAGCTAGGATATACAAGTGACATTGGACTCTGTCTCAAGTTTGGAGTCTTCAAATCTTTTGTAGTACAAAAATAATACCATGTCATCTTTCCGGGAAATGCCATGTGCTGTTACTGGTGCTGGGAAAGGAAAGAGGGCACCCTTTAGAAACGAGACTGATATTCCACTGGTTCTTAAAGCCATGGGAGGAAAGGAGAGGTAATAAGATTTGTTGGGGCTGGTCATATAAGGTGTGCCCATGGGCAGACTGGAACCTGCCAGGGTCCATCTGCAGGCCAGTCTTTAGGATAATCACCTTCAAGATGCAGGCACAGCAGATAGCTCAGCCTGAGGCAAATGGTGAAATTGGGTTTACACAGTGATCATTTAGTTTTCCAGAATCCTGTGTTACCTTCGGGTTAGAAGAGCACTGGAATGCTTGTGTTTCCCAAGTGTCCCACTGATTCTCATAATGCTTACAGTTCCCCGGACTGGGGAGGCCAGAGGGGTAAGTTGCCCAATGCTCTGTTATCCACTGGGATTTCCCAGGTCAGCAGATAGGCTATGTACAGGGGCTGCCACTTCTCTCCCTGTCCTTAGTCCAACTGTAAAAAAAAAAAAAAAAACAATCCTTTTCCAGAAAGGAACTAAATATTTTTTCAGGAGCCAAAGGTCGGTCAAAGTAGGCTAATGAGTAAGTCTGGACATGGTCTCACAGACACTGATAAGGTGCCTGGGGCAAGGGCACCTCTATGAGGTTAGAGACCATAAGGTGTGTTCCAGTTGACTAGCAGGCCTGGAAGCTGGCTGAGCTCTGCCACAGTGATCTCTTTCCCACTGTGTGCTTTTGGGTCAGTCTTTCATGCTTGGGGGAGGAGAGCTGCAGTTCCCTGCACCCCCGGGTACTGGCCTTTCTCCTCTTCCCCGCACCACTGGAAGACACTGAGAATGTGCAACCATCTGTGGCCTCTGATCTCAAACCATCATAAGAACACTCTGGGTACAGTTCTTGTCTTACTGACAAGAACCACATATTTTATTTTATTATTTTATCACATAAGAGATTCTTAACTTTTGGCATTTTATGTCCTTCAGTCAGTATACAGAAGATCTAAGATCCATTGTGGTAGAATTTAAAAGCTTACTTTTTTCTGTTTATATGCATTCAGGTATTTGGGTCAGTTTTTATGTAATTTATGTTTGGATCCTGGTATAGAAATCATTTGTTGATGAAAGTGTTTTGTAAAAATTACAATATTAACATACATTGGGCCCTTAGATATACTGACACTAAATGGTCCTGCTGACTCTGGGTAGGCATTTCTCCCTTTGCTTAGCAACATAGGATCACCCCTCCCTGATGCAGAGCTGCCATGTTTTGCAACTTCCAAGGGCAACATACTCGTTTGCAGGGGCTCTGAGGGCCAGAGACTGGGCAGAGGAGGTACCCATTAGTGACATAAGAACCTGCATTCTACTGAGAGACAGTGGGAATGCAAATGGGAAACACTAGTCTCACTTTTTTGAAGGCCCCAAAGCTTCTGAATTATTGATAAAGCTTGATGGCCCTTTAGAGATCATTGGCTCTAAGGTCACTGTTTACCTAGGAAAGAGTCCCAGAGAAGGATGGAGATTTGTTCACGGTTACGCAGATGGATGGTGTGAAGTCTGGGCCAGGACTGCGGCTTCCTGGTTCCTTGTCTAGTGTTGTCTGTTTTAGTGCCGCCTGATGGGTCAGCAGCCCTGGAGAAGGTCAGGGGTGGTGTGCGGTCTTAACCTCCCTGGCTTTCTGGTCAGATAAACTGCTGGGCTTTGGTTTTTTTCTGTCAGGATCAGAGAACCCCTAGTGATTTGTGGCCACAGCCCACCCAAGGAAGTGATTCCTTTGGAAGTGCGGAGCCAGCTATGGTCCTGGGCGATTTGGGCAGAGCATACACGTGTTGTTCTTTGCGTCTCTCCTTTTTCTTTTAAAGCTTCCCCTGCCAGACAGGTTTTCCATCCAGCTCATCTCCTCTAAAGTGCCAAGAAGTTATCATTTCCCTGTCTGCACTTGTTGTAGAAGAGATTCCAGGAATGGATCTAGAGCCTGAGGCAGCTAGGATAGGGGGATTTGAAGAAGATAGTTAGATAATTGGGTAATTGTTGAAATGAGGCAATGTGGATCCCAAAAGTTGAATTGCCTTAAAGGGAAATCTGGATACTTTAAGAGTTAGTAGTTCAACATCTTTAATGTCAAGGCAGCCAGAGCCCTGACAGCTCTGTGGCAGCACACCTTATTAACCAGTGTCATTGGGGAATGAGTACTTTAGATTGTTTGTCCTCTCGAATGCCAAAATGAAAATCCTTTTTTGATAAGAATATCTTAAAAACAATATGCTTCCTTGCCTTTTACTGCTGTTTGTTGAGGGGTGTGAAGTATACCTGCCTATCTTCCCTGTGAGCTGTTCCTTCCCCTGACTGTCCCACCCTGATAGATTTGCCTTCATGCCTTATGCTTTGCTGCCTGTGTGTCCTGCCTCACAGTCTAAATGACCTGTGGCTAAATGTTGACCACTACCCAGTAAGAATGTCTGTCCTCAAAATGAGGTGCACAGCCAGCTGTGACACCCCTGAAAAATACAGAGGCTGTTTTCAGGGAGAAAAGCCTGATCATATGTCTGACTTCTACACAAGTGAAGAAGTATTTGTTCCCTGTAATAATTCCTGGCTTTCTTGACTTGATAGGTCTCTGAGAACCTGCCAGGTGTGGGTCTGAGCAGCTGGTGCTGGCATTCTGAATAGTCATCACTTATGGGAAGGGGTACGCAGGACTTGGGATGTGGGGTATATTACAGGTAAAGTTAGCTCACATCCCAGGGATTCACAGGAGGGAATTAGCATTTGAATATTAGCCATCCACCCTCTCCTTGGAAAGGTCATAGATACACAGCAAATACATATTGTAACCTGTGATGTCTGCTCCCTCCAGGCTGATTGATAAAATAGGAAAACTCAGCATATGAAGAATGGAGGAACTTTGGTTAGGGCAAAGGGAAGGGTGGGGATGGGAAGAGGCAGGGGGTAGGAAAGATGGTGGAATGAGATGGACATCATTACCCTAGGTTCATGTATGAAGACACTACTTGGTGTACAACCAGAGAAATGAAAAATTATGCTCCATTTGTGTACTATGAATCAAAATGCATTCTGCTGTCATATATAACAAATTAGAACAAATAAATAAATTAATTAAAAAATATAAATCGGGGCTGGGGTTGTGGCTCAACGGTAGATTGCCCACCTAGCACATGCAGGGCCCTAGGTTCACTCCTCAGCACCACATAAAAATGAATAAATAAAATAAAGGTGTGTGTCTAACTACAACTAAAAAATAAACATTAAAAATATATAAACAATAAAGTGCTGTGGAGTGATATCAGCCAAAAAAAAAAAAATAGGGAAACTCTCCAGTTAAAGTATTAACATGCTGAATTAAAGGTTTAATGTGCTGGGAGCTGAGGCAGGAAGATTTTAAGTTTGAGGCTGCCCTCAGAAACATGGCAAGGTCCTTTCTCAAAAAAAAAGGGTGGGGGGCACTGGAGATGGAGCTCAGTGGTAGAGCTCCACTGGGTTCTTCATTCCCCTGAACTGTAATAACAACAGAAAGGCTTTATGCAGTTCATCTGAATCTAGGTTATCTAAAGCATGTACTCTCTTAAAAATTCTGACAGTTTCATCATCTTTTGGAATAATTATATTGCTTGGATGTACTTGGATCTTATTGTGGTCTAGCCCAGCAGTGCCTAGTAGAGAATAATTCTAAATAAATTATAATAAATCAAATTGAATTCTATTCCACAAATTCAGAACTGAGGATAATTTGGCAAGACAGAGTGCACAGGTATCATTATTCCCTAGAAGAAGTGAATGGTAGTGATAGGACCACAGCAATTGTGCTTTTCTTGTTGCTTAATAGACCAAGCCGTGTCTATCTCACGGCAACTGCTGTATGTTAACCACTTGTGTAGCGAGTGCTGTGCTAAGCTGTCTCCTCCATTTTGGTTCAACCTCCTGCTAACCCTGTGGTGCGGGCATGGAGTAGGGGCATCTCAGAGGTCGCATCCCCTGTCCGGGACCTCACAACAATAAATAGTCCTTCTCAGTGGCTCCTCCCCATCTCTACTTTCCACAGTTTGGGTGGAATAACTGTATAATGTCAAGATTATGAAATCACAGTTTTTAAATATTTTATGTGACCTTCTTTTTTCAGTTTTTTTTTTTTTTTTTAGTTTTTTATTGTTGGTTGTTCAAAACATTACAAATTTCTTGACATATCATATTCCACACTTTGATTCAAGTGGGTTATGAACTCCCACCTTCACCCCATACACAGATTGCAGAATCACATCAGTTACACATCCATTGATTTACATATTGCCATACTAGTGTCTGTTGTGCTCCGCTGCCTTTCCCATCCTCCACTATCCTCCCTCCCCACCTCTCCCCTCCCCTCCCCTCCTCTCTCTCTACCCCCTCCACTGTACTTTTTTCAGTTTTGATGAAGGTCTAGCAGCCTCATTATTTGGTTGTGACATTTCCTAATATAAACAGGGGCATCTGAGATGTGAGACCTCTCAGGACAGAAAGGGTGGTAAATGTTAATCACTGGCAGTTGCCACAACACTAACCCCAGCCCAGGTTCTGAAGATATCATAGGGAAGTTACAGTTCATTCCTTTCCTTATGTATAGGATTCTTATTGAAGCTATCAAATGCAATTTTGGCCTTGAGTATCTGATATTCTTACAATATGAAAACGGATAAGTATAGGACTTATGCTAAGCACAGGTTAACTTCAATTCGTTTATGCCAAGTAAAGGTAAATTAAGGTCTACTATCTAGCTAAATACAAATGATTAATTTGTAGAGTTAAAATTCAAGCAGTTTTCCCTGGGATGAAATATTGTGCTCTGGAGGGATTAATTAGCCAGGCTCCTTGTTTTCTTCATGTGATGCCTGGTGCCCTGTTATTTTCCCATACTCATCAGACCGTGCAGTGGGGCAGTAGGCAAAGACGAGTGATTCTCTGAATTCTGTCTCTCTCACGGCAACTGCTGTGTGTTAACCACTTGTGTAGCAAGTGCTGTGCTAAGCTGTCTCCTCCATTGTGGTTCAACCTCCTGCTAACCCTGTGGTGCGGGCATGGAGTAGGGGCGGGCATGGAGTAGGGGCGGGCATCTCAGAGGTCGCATCCCCTGTCCGGGACCTTACAACAAAGCCAGGCTCCAGCTCCTTCCCTCTGATCCCATTGCCAAGGCACCTAAACACATGCACACCTTTGCAGCCTGGGGCTGGGGTGTGGAACATACATATCTGCCCTGTGAGTAGACCCCTTCAGGGTAGGATTTGGGTGCCGGACATAGTAGGGACTTGCTCTGAGTTGATTACTGGACTCTGCTAGAAGGTTTGGGGAGGATAAGAAGTCAGAAGGAACAGAGGTAACGCCTGGTGTAGGACAGCCGGCCTTCATTTCCATGGGTAGCTGAGAAAACCACAGACTCGTGCTAGAGAACACTTGTGTCCTGGTTCCAGGGGGCACAGCATGTGTACTGACTGGGCAGCCCTTTGACACAATGAAGGTGAAGATGCAGACATTCCCGGACCTGTACCGAGGCCTCACAGATTGCTGCCTGAAGACCTACTCCCAGGTGGGCTTCCGCGGCTTCTACAAGGGCACCAGCCCGGCTTTGATCGCCAACATCGCGGAGAACTCGGTGCTCTTCATGTGCTACGGCTTCTGCCAGCAGGTGGTGCGGAGAGCAGTTGGGTTGGACAGACAGGCAAAGCTGAGGTGAGTCAGGACACTGATGCCTTGTTCTTCTTCTTCTTCTTCTTTTTTTTTTAACAAGAACAACAACAAACAAACACAAAAACATTGTTGTATCGCCCTGGCGTCTGAGTCTCCTCAGGGGGATGCTTTTTAGATGGACAGAAGTGCTGGACTCAAACCGTACATACAGGTTGGGACCCCAGGGTTAGGTCGTGCTTCATCAGCAAAAGGCAACATGTTGCGAGAGGTTGCCTGAGCCATGTGGGTTTGAGGAGAAATGTGGAACTTCAGGGAGGGTCAAAAACACCTGAGAAAATGCAGATGAGCCCCACCTTTCTTTGGCTGAGTCTTCCCCAAACATCAGATCTTGGCTTGGGCTTGGTCGTCCTTGGGGTGTTTATTACGCAGAGATCAAACAGTTCAGGAGATACTGGGATGTTTAGCTAGCCCTCCTTTGAATGCTGATCTATTTAAAATGATGGTTATTAGCTTCGTGGTTGCAGAAGGCAGTCTTGGTGGTGGTGTTGGTGGGACTAGAAGCCCTATTGCAGGGGCAGTGCCCACCTGACTAAAGAAGTTCCTTGTGCACAAAAATACCTCAAGGGCTCAAATGTGCCCTTTTACAGGCAGGAGTTCTGTCACGATAGAGGGAGCTTGTGCTTTCAGGGCTAGAGACTGGATGAAATGACTCCAGGAGATGGCATAGGGCAGAGCTCTGGTCCTTTAACCCTCCAGCACAGAGGGCAGGAAGGAAAGAGGAAGTAGACGGAGCAGGTGGCAAACCAGGAGAGGACAGCACCCCACAGTGGAGAACCAACAAAAATAAAACAGTGTATGTAGCTTCCTCCCCACAGAGGGAGGGGCTTCTACTTAAGGAGACCTGGGGTTCTGTTTGCCTCAGCCCCCTTAGTAAAGGATGACACAGGAGAGAAGCCAGGGAATCAGTGAGTACCTGTGTGGGTGCTGGTGGCAGGACTTGGCTTCCTCTGAGCAGAGCAAGCCCTTCTGGCCACAGAGATAATGACTTCTGCCTTCTTAGGTAAGCAAAGCCATTAAGGGATCAGGCCTTAATGTCCCTTCCCTTCCTCTTCTCTCAGCCTGTGAACAGTGAAGACTGGGAGGAGCATCATGCTTTTCTGATGGAGAAGCTTGGATACCTTAGAGCTGCATTTCCATGCAGTTTCTAGAAGCTCAAGTCAGTGTCCCTGAGAAAGGGTTGGGAGACGCTTCTTTGTGTCTCTTGCGTGGAGAAGCACTCTGAGCACATGGATTTCATGCAGTATGGTAGCATTTAGTTGGTTGAAGTCACCTAGAAGTTCTTCCTCAAGCCTTGTCTTCTGAGCCTCTCTCGGCCCAGTTTCGGCCCAGTCTTCTTTCTGGTAGATCACAGTTGGGGTTGTGGAATGTTTTATAGGGGTCACATCTAGAGAGAGGATTTATCAAAGAGTGGTGAAAAGGAAAGAACTGCTAGTGAGAGCCCGTTGTGAATTTTTGCAATCACATCGTCAATATTTGTCTTTTCTCGGTTTGAACATGACCTGGAGTGGTGTTCTTCTTTGACCTTTGGCTGGATGGGGTCTTACACAGCAAGAGTGTTCAGGTCATGTTTTTTGTTGAAGAGATGACAGCTGATTCTTACAAAACCCCATCCTGTGCCTGTTGCCCTTTCGATTCCATTTTATACATTTATAGTACACTTAGAACCTGCAGCCCATGTGCTTCATTTTGTGCCCTGGTAGATGAGAGTGTTTATTAGAAAGCCAAAGTCCACTGCAAATCTGATCGGGCCTTGTCCTTGTACTAAATAAGGTGGTTGGTGTTGGCTCAGATGTCTCAGCCATCTCCACACCTGAGGTTAAACCAACTTCCACTTTTATTGACTGCCACCTTTGTTCCAGCAAACTTGGCAAACTCTAGTTAATGATCCTGGACGATTGCCTGTCAGCACGTTGACAGAAAGTCCCTGCGTGAGGCCAATTATGGATCTGTAGGCTGGTTAAAAGATGGCAGAATCCATTTTAAGCTTTGTTTTTCAACAAATGAACTAAGGAGTGACGTGAGGGAGAAGTGAACTGAACAGCCTGGGTCAGTTTGTATACACCAGAAGATTGTGTGTAGGACATTTGTGTACCTGGATGGCTCTGCTGTGTTCATGGTCTTGGTGTAATTCTCCAAGATCAAAAGGAACCAGTACTGCAGTACTGCAGGCAGTGTCTTCCTCCTGAAAGAAAGCAAGCCCACACCAAGCCAGATTTTGAGACCTGGATACCTCCACTTGCATCTGCCAGTGGCATAGAGGCTAGACCACCCACTAGGGACAAGTCTAGAGGGGCCTCAGTTTTATATTAATGTTTAATTCTGATGGAACAGTAGGATCATTGAATGTGGTAGGTCCCCTTGGAGATATTTTTACCCTCTGTGAGGGTGGTTGGTCTTAGCTATCCAGTGACCCCAGGAGGCCAGTATTTACTGGGGAGTTAGGGAACCAACCAGTTTTTTCCTGCCTGGTCAAAGACTGTACCACAAATACCGGCAGTGCTCCTACAAAACACTGTATTGGGGCTACAAGGGCGCTTCTTTTCTGACCCCTGTGAATTTCTGAGAATAGTGCTCAGACTTTCCCCTTATTCTTGAACTCTTCCTGGATTCTAGTTTTAAGATCCTACTGGTAACTTAGGGACCTAGTGGTCCTAAGCCCATATGAAAGGAAGTAAATTCTGTTTGTGTTTATTGCTTTCTCGTCTAGTTTGTTGTTTTCACCTAAAACCATTGAGTGTGCAGACTTCACCCACCTCTGAGGCCCATTGTCCCCTCCTCTTGGCCTGTGTTGCTGAGGTTGTGTTTATTCCATTTTCAGTTCCTATAACAGAATACCTGAGAACAAGTAATGGATAAAGAAAAGAAGTTTAGCTCACAGTTCTGGAAGTTCAAGAGCATGGGGCTGGCATCTGCTTGGTTCTGATGGGGTTTTCTAGCTATATCACAGCACGGCAGATCACATCATGGTGGGAGTATGTGTAAGAGGGACAGATTTCATGGTGTTACAGTAGGATAGAGAAATTCCCAAGTGAGGCTTATTTTGTTGATAACAATAGTTTGTTCTTGTGGAAACTAACTGGAGTCCTGTAAGAACTACATTGATCCCTTCCAAGGGTGGCAGTGCCCCTAAGAACCTAACTGCCTTCTACTAGCCCCACCTCTTATAGGTTTCACCACCTCATTAGGGAGCAAGATTCTAGCACATGAACCCATGGGGACACATTCAGACCAAAGCAGGAGGCTGGCAGCTGACTAGGAAATCTTTTTGAAATGCAGGGACTTTTCATTATAAATTTGTACTGGGTTTTCATCTGTGGTAGTTCATTACATGACCAATTGTTCCAGGATGGATTATAAGCATGAAGGGAAGACCTTAGAACTTAATCTTTTTAAGGCTTTCTGGCAAATGTACTATAGTTGTGCATGTTTTGAGTGGGGGACCTATGGGTCATTTTTCCTCCTCTCCTTCAGGTGTTTTTGCTTTATTTTGTATGTCACCCTGTGCCTTAGCGTGGTCTACTATAACAAAATGCCATAGTCTGAGTTGCCTAAATAACAAACATTTCCCCTAGTTCTAGAGACTGCAAGGTCCAAGATCAAGGTCCCAGCAAATTCAGTGTCTGGTGAGGGCTCACTTCCTGCTTCATAGTACTTTCACACTGTGTTCTGACATGGCAGAGAGAGCAAGCTCTCTGGTCCCTTCTTCTTCTTCTTTTTTTTTTGGTACTAGGAGTTGAACCCAGGGGTGCTTAACTGCTGAGCCACATCTTCAGCCCTTTTTTAATTTAGACACAGGGTCTCGCTAAGTTGCTTAGGGCCCCGCTAAATTGCTGAGGCTGACTTGGAACTTGCCATCCTCCTGCCTCAGCCTCCTGAGCCACTGGGATTACAGGTGTGTGACACTGCGCTAGGCTCTGGTCCCTTCTTGTTAGGGCACTAATGCCATGATGAGGGCCTCACTCTCATGACCTCTCTAATTGCCTCTTAAGGACCCTCTTCAAATATCATCACATTGAGGCGTAGGGCTTCAACACAAGTATTCAGCCCATATTCAGTACCTAATGAAAACAGCATGGATGTGGCAGTCAGGCAGACCTGGGTGTGATTCCTGCCACTTTGTAGCTGTGTGACTTTGGACACATTATGGATCATTTCTAAGTACCATTTCCCTAGATAGGAATTAGGGTATTGCTGTCACCTCACAGGACATGGGATCCCTTGCTGCAACAGCATGTGCCGATCCCACTTTAATCCCCATGTTCCCGTTCCTTGAGGTGGAAGCTGAAGGAATGAGTAAGCTGACAGAGGTGGCTTCTGTGCTGTGTGCTTTCAGTGATCTGCAGAACGCAGCTGCTGGGTCCTTCGCCTCTGCCTTTGCCGCGCTGGTGCTTTGCCCCACGGAGCTCGTGAAATGCCGGCTACAGACCATGTATGAAATGGAGACGTCAGGAAAGATAGCCAGGAGCCAGAAGTAAGTACTGTTTGGACACAAACGATAGATCTCTGTTGCCTTGATATAGTAAGTGTGTTTTTTTTTTTTCATTTTATATTGTATTAAAATTTAGTAGATACGGAAACAGATTTATCTACTCCAAAATATTATTTCTAGAACACTTTCCCCTACCAGTCAAGGATTATTTTCTGCAAGGATTTTCTGTGATGGTTGTACTGACTCTGAACCCCATAGGACATCTTAGGCAGATATTTAATACCCCAGAAATGGAGAAGCCTGGAAGTTATTCCCCTTTGTCCTCTTGGGTGTGTATAAGGAATGACCCTCAACCATATTGGGTTTTTTCAAATGCATCTGAGAGCTGATCCCTCCTAAGTGCTGATTTGGATTCTGAGATGGATATTCAGTGCCCATTCCCAGGTTTCATGCGTTGTTCAGGTTGATCACACCAGATCCTAGTGGTGACTTCTTTGCTCTCTTCCTGCCCTCCCCTGCCCTTCATATATATATCTACAAAGGGTCCAAGTTTTGAAAACATTCACAAAACCCTCTGTAAGCACAGAACTCTTCTGTGATCAAATCGCGCTCCAACTCATCTTACAAGATTCTCACTACCCTGTGAGAATGTATATGTCATTCAAGATAACTTACTTGAATTGAAAAGCAATTTATTATCCTTATTAATCACAAAACTTGGCTATTGCATCCTAACATCTGGCTGACCAAAGTTCTGGTTGAAGATGTTGAAGTGGTGAATTCCAAGCCTGTGAATTTGCTGGGAAAACTGGTAGACAAATCAGCCATTTTTAGTTAGCAGTTTCCTCTCAGCAAGAATGAGGTTTGTAATAGTGCCCTGTTTTCTGCATCCTTGAGATTCATTTCATCCAACCTGAATCTATTATTTATTGCCAAGAAGTTCCAAAGTATAAGCCTTGAAAATTTTTTCTTGAACTAGAACATACACATAGTATTGTAAATACATAAATCATAAGTGTTCAATGCTATACACAGTCACAAAATGAATGGGCCTTTGTAACCAGTCCCTGGATTAAGAAATAGAACACAAATAGCACCCAGAAAGTGGTCCTCATATGCCTTAGAAGTAGTTTTAGGTAATTTAAAGATAGCTACGGTTATAACTAAAGGATTTAAGACTGGTAGACACCTTGCAAGAAAAGAATATTTGAGATGTAGCAGGTGCTAAACAAAGCAAGTATAGTAACTTGGGGTAGGGCATGGTTTGGATGCAAGTGGTGTTGTGTGTTGGATTAATGTGTCACATTCTCATGGAATGGGAGCAGCACTGCAGGAAGGGCCTGGCTTATGGGGAATGCCCGTCAGAGCCTTCTGAAGCTCTGAGGGAAGATCATCACCCTGAGAACTTCAGAGTGATGTGTCCTTGGGGTTTGATCCTTGAGCTCCTCAAGCCAAGTCCCTTGCTCTCTAGAAAAAGGAAGGAGAAGATTCTCTAAGTCACACAGAGTATGACTTTTTCCCGAGGATAAAACCTGCTATGGTGCAACCCATCATGAAGAGGAGTCTGTGGACCAGAAGTGTCCTGGCCTCTCCAGAAGTAGGACTCTGGTCTGCTTAAAAGGAGTTCCCTGTACCTCTGCTGCTCTCAAGAATCAATTCTGCATGCTTTTTGCATCACAGGGGCTATAGCTCAGCTCTTAGAATTTCTTTCATCTTGCCTTCAAGTAACCATTTACTCCTTGGCATTAAAACAAAACAATGTGTAAATGCTTGAACAAATTCTCCTAAAAAATAGCATAAATATTGAAGAGATATGGATCAAAGGAGGTAAGGGACTGATCAAAGACAATACCATTTTATTCTTGTTGAGTTTGGAGGACTCCTAATTATAATTTAGGTTTCACTTATTTACTTCTGAAAATATAGGTAGTAGCTTTCTTATATATATATTTTTGATAATGTGACTTCTAAAAATTTTGGCATTCATTTTAATAAATTATGCTTAACCATAACAACTTAATGAACCTGATAATAACAGTCTGCTTCTCTGAGATGCTTCTGAGATTCTTTATTCCATAGGAGGATACCTTTTATTTTCAGAATTCTTGATTCTACTTTACAAAATCAGCTGCTTCCTTCCTTGTTCTTGATTAGTTCTGTTAATTGGGTATGAATGTCCTTGTTCTCCCATCCTTCCTGCTGGCAGTAACTGTCACTCACTGTTCCCTCCCAGTACAGTTTGGTCTGTTGTGAAGACTATACTTAGAAAGGATGGCCCTTTGGGCTTCTACCATGGACTCTCAAGCACTTTACTTCGAGAAGTACCGGGCTATTTCTTCTTCTTCGGTGGCTATGAGCTGAGCCGGTCGTTTTTTGCATCAGGGAGATCAAAAGATGAATTAGGTAAACGTGTTTGCATTAACAGCATTTGGGTACGTGGAGGCTGCTCCCTGGTGGTGTGGTTTCCGGGGATTATCTGCTCAATGCACCTCCATTTGGGGAACCCATCTGGCACTAGAAGTTTCTGGGTGCTGAAAAGTAACATGGCAGCAGATGATAGCCCATGCCCTTTCCCCAGGTTTGGTAATTTCCTCAAGACAGGGGCTGAAGCAGAAGCAGCACATCTCAAACTGCTTTACTGGAATAACATTCATTAATTGTTCTGGATCCATTTTAGGGGGTGAAGAAATGTGGAGGTTATTTTTCCCATGGGGAAATCACTTATTTTCACTGGTTTCTGGAAGTATCATATGGCTGTTCTTGAGATCAAATACCATTTGCTGTTTTTCTTCTCTAGGCCCTGTGCCTTTGATGTTAAGTGGTGGAATTGGTGGAATTTGCCTGTGGCTTGCTGTATACCCAGTGGATTGTATAAAATCCAGAATTCAAGTTCTTTCCATGTCTGGAAAACAGGCAGGATTTATCGGAACCTTTCTAGGTGTTGTGAAAAATGAAGGTGAGCCTGGTGTGGTGGCACATGCATGTGATCCCAGTGACTGGAGAGGCTCAGGCAGGAAGGTTGCAAGCTCAAGGCCAGTCTCAGCAATTTAGTGAGACTCTGTATCAAATTGGGGATGTAGCTCAGTAGTTAAGTGCCCCCCTGGGTTCAGTCCCTAGTATCAAAAAAAAAAAAAAACACAGAAAGGTGAGTCAACTAGTTTCAGAAACAGAGTAGGTGTGTATATAGAGTGATCACTCGCTTCAATACTGTCTTGCTGAGGTTTGATCAGATGTTTAATTGCTGTCTTCTCCCTGCCTCTTATCCTTTTTCTAGCACTGTATATTAATCCACATTTGTAGCTTTCTGTTTCCAGACTCCTTTCTTTAGCTTATTTTCATTATTCTCAAGAATGTTCACAATTCTTTTTCCTAATCCCTTGGGCAGGTACCTGTCAGGATTCTTTGTCTAAATAGCTTGGAGGGAATTTTTAAGATGTGGACTTTGTCCAAGGGGGCGAATGCTCTGAAGTTAGCACCACCTGCTTTATATAATACAGATATTACAGAAGATAATCTCTAACACGACCACTAAGGGCTTGAAAAGAATGTCCAGCATCCTTAATGCTAAGACTTCTGGAATCAGAAATGGACTGAGCAACTTCTGAAGGTGATTTACTATCAATTTTTAGAGTTATGTAGGAGAATAAAGATTAATAATGCTTGTATAAAGCCAGCTTTATGCAACCTATTTGTAAAGACCTGTTTTTCTAGTATCCACTGTACATCTTCAAACTTGGGTTATGAACTTCTGTTTTGATTTTTAAAAGGGAAAGAGTAGTAACACAGACAAATTTAATTCATATCCCAAATAGAGTACAGACATCTTGTATATTACTCATACTTACCTTCCTGAAAATTTGCATGACACTTTATAATAATTTTACAAAGTACACATGCTTCCTTTATGTAATTCAGTCTTCATAAACATGCTGGGCAGTGCTAATACTAGAAATAGGTCTCTTATCTCAGTGTTGGTGCTCTCGATGCCATCTTTGGCCCCAGAGTTGCTTCTGTCTGCCCATCTTAGGATCAGCTCTGCCCTCTGTCTTCTAGGCATTAATCAGGTATTGAATTGGTTTATGTTACCTCAGCAACAGTCAGCTTTGCAAGAGACTTGATCCTTATCTAGTTTCTGTTAGTCTATATAGGAAAACCTGGATGTAAGTCCTCCTACTACTTGTGGGGTTTTAATGCTATTGTTTGGATTTGTGAGTTCAAGTGTGCCTATTCTATGCAGCTGTATGGAGTATTCCCAAGGGGGAATTGTCACAATCTTTGATTGCCCTTTTGTCTTCTAGGAATAACAGCCTTATATTCTGGACTGAAACCTACTATGATTCGTGCATTCCCTGCCAACGGGGCACTATTTTTGGCCTATGAATACAGCAGGAAGTTGATGATGAGCCAGCTGGAAACATATTGAAGTGTCCTGGTGGGCCTGGATCTAGGCACAGGTGTTTGAGGACTCCTGTTCATCTCAGGGTTTCACGGAGTATGAGAACAACGTGGAATTATTTTGAATTCTTGGGAATTTTGTTTTTGTGTTCCCTTCTTCTACCCTACGTCTTAAACTTTATGGAAAGATGTATATCTTACATCATATATTTTCTCCCCAATTGTGTTGTTCTTACCCTTGATAGAATATGCAGGGTGGCAGATGGCCCAATGAACCTAATTTGAAAGGCTGAATATAGTTTTATTAGGGCATTATTACTTCATGAATCCGTATACGTGCATTTTGGATAGTTATATATTAAGAGAAATTGGTTTCATGTTTAATTTAAAATATCAGAAAACCCAGAGGTGACAGTTTTTCACTGAATGGTTATAAATGATTGCTTAAACCATTCTAGTTGTCGGGTCTCTAAAGTCTGCTGAACCTGTGTACTGAGGTTCAAGTTTTCACATAGTACCTGAAAACTAAAATATCCATCTTGATTTTTAATAGACTATACCTGCATACTGGTGTGGTTTCCACATTCTTACTCAAGCTTCAGAGTAGGTATCTTGGATTTTCCCAAGAAGCTTTACTCTTAAAATAGTGCCATTCATTTTCTAGGTGGGCTCATATTCCACACTTGACTGTGTTGCTGGGTGTATCCCTAGAAGATCAGGCCTTTGGGAAGCAGTAGTGGCCTTCACCAACTTTCCTTTTTCTCCTTTCCCAAAGAGCTTTCCCTGTGCTGGGCTGTAGATGAAGGAAAGGGCCCGGAGATGGGCTCTGCTGGGCTGTGCTGTTTGATGATGGCTGACAGCAGCTCTTAATTCTGTCTCTGGGTCCTGGCCTGGGTAGAATTATGGGTGTTCTATTGGCCCAGATTCGGGGCTATTGATCCACTTTGTACCACGTTGTCCTCTCTGCCCCACCAGTCAGAAAGCCTTCTAGGGAACAGAGAGTGCCAAAGTCAAAAGAAGCCTTTGCTCCCTGTTTGGTGATCAAGTTAATGTGTTCATGGGCGAAGCCCTGTTCTCTCAGAACTGGAAAGAGCTTAGTGCTTAGATTTCACAGTGAATGATGGCAGGACTGACCCATCCTGAAGTTTACCTCAGAATCCACAACTGCTTGCCATGCTTTTTCAGTGTTTGAGCCTTTTGTATTTGGGGCTGGCAGTTTAAATTTTAATGAGTATAGATGGGGTGTGAATTTACAAAGAAGTGTAACATAAGAAAAGCAATTTTATCAAACTAGGTGGTATTGTAATATAGGGTCCAACCAGAACAAAGCCCACAGTTCATCTGCTCTCCATAGATTTGGAATGGGCAGCTGTGATCTAACAGGGTCATTCTTGTCACCACTAAAGTCAGCCTTATCATTCTGTGCTACTCCAAGACCAGCAGGGCCACTCTCAGTAAGAAGGGTTCTTAGACAGCCTATAGAGCAAAAGTCAGGCAGGCTACAATTTTAACGAGTCTTACCTGGTGTGTCTGTCCTTGTGGGCAGAATGTAAATGCTGGGCAACACCTCCTGTTTCCTTCAGCTTTCTGCTCTCAGCCAAGCCTGTGGCAACTCTTAGCCATGGTGTCAGGAGAACAGGGTCAGGGAATCAAGGTGCTACCAAATGGGCAGGGTGGAGAGCCAGGGACATTTGGGGTGCGGATGCTTGTCATGCCTGATGTGCTACAGAGCTAGAGCTGGTCCTCCATTGGCTTTTTCTTTATGAAAAAAACCATTTTTTTCTACTTTTCTCTCTATACTAAATGCTCAGTAGCTGCTGAATGGCACTTCATCTGAACAGGCATGAACTGAAGCAAACAGAACATGGGACTGGCTTCTAATCAGAGTACTGCTTTACAGTCCACAGCCTCCTTCCTCAGTGCCCAGGAGCTAGTCCATGTTAGCTCATTTGGCAGTAGATCTTCTCATGGGTTGTCCATTCAAGTTTAACTAAACATCTTCCATAGAAATAGTGTGCAGCAAGTGGAAGTGAGGAATGGAAACCTAAGTCTGGAGAATTTATTTTTCTTTCTATTTGTTTAATTTGTGATTCAATATTTGGGTACAGTGTGTACCATTTCAGATCTGTACTCCAGACAAAAATATAATAACTTGAAACACTGTGTTAAAGAAATTTGAGTGTTCTGTCATTAAATTATTTACCTAATGTGAGTTGATGATGTTTCATTTAAGTACTTTATGTCTATGCTGAGAATCAACAGTTAGGATTGTTAAGGAGTTACGTATAGTAATGTTACATATAGTAATATTTCCAGGTGATGGTTTTATTGTAGCAGGCATTTTTTGTCTGCAGGATTTTAGATGCAAAGTAACTTTACTGTAGGATAGTTGACAAAAACATATGGAGCCTGTACCCGCTGCAGTTAATGGCCCTCTAGAATTCACTCTCTCCCTTTTGCAGCCTCCATTTTTTTTTAATTGGTTGTTCAAAACATTACAAAACTCTTGACATATCATTTTTCATACATTCGATTCAAGTGGGTTATGAACTCCCATTTTTACCCCAAATACAGATTGCAGAATCACATCAATTACACATCTACATTTTTACATAATGCCATATTAGTAACTGTTGTATTCTGCTGCCTTTCCTGTCCTCTACTATCCCCCCTCCCCTCCCCTCCCATCTTCGCTCTCTACCCCATCTGTTGTAATTTAATTCTTTCTCTTGTTTTTTTTCCCCTTCCCCCTCAAATTCTCTTATATGTAATTTTGTATATCAATGAGGGTCTCCTTCCATTTCCATGCAATTTCCCTTTTCTCTCCCTTTCCCTCCCACCTCATGTCTCTGTTTAAAGTTGATCTTTTCCTCTTGCTCTTCCTCCCTGCTCTGTTCTTAGTTGTTCTCATTATATCAAAGAAGACATTTGGCATTTGTTTTTTAGGGATTGGCTAGCTTCACTTAGCATAATCTGCTCTAATGCCATCCATTTCCCTGCAAATTCCATGATTTTGTCATTTTTTAGTGCTGCGTAATACTCCATTGTGTATAAATGCCACATTTTTTTTTTTTTATCCATTCATCTATTGAAGGGCATCTGAGTTGGTTCCACAGTCTAGCTATTGTGAATTGTGCTGCTATGAACATTGTTGTTGCAGCCTCCATTTTTAAAAACAGTTAAATTTCTTGCTAGTAAATTTTGGATAATTCTATTCCAAGTTAGTAAAATTTACTTAAGAAAATCAGTGTCATTCTAATACATTTCTTAGGTTCTTTGAAGAATGATTCACTTTGAGTTCTAAGAAAGCGGTACCCCAAGAGGCCTAACAAGTTTTCTTTATATGAGCAAAACCAGAATTACGTGGCAATGCATAACTGCCAAAAATTTTGATGAGTCCTGGAGGATTAGGTTATAGTTCAAACAGCAAGGTTCTTAAAATTTTGTTTTCTTCCCTCATTGCCAGAATTAGAGAAAGGCTTCACCGAACTAGCTCCCCCTACCCTGCCTCCCCACTGCCCCTTTGCCTAAATCTACTAACAATCTATCTTCTGAATTATTGCTGCTAGAATTTAAAATGAAATATTATGCAACCTATTCTGCCATAACCATGCTTCTGTAACTCAAATTACAGGGAATGATGTCAGCAATAACATGCAAGGAACTTGAAAACATGCTTTGTCGTCTTTTCCTTCACAAGAAGCCAGATTAGGGGGAGAAATGGAAAAGGTCTATAGTTGGACTACAGCATTGGCTATTGGAAACCTTGTTTTGGGACACTTAGGGGAGAAACAGGGCAGCCAGGCCACCCAGCAGCTTTGCAGCCTTTTGGCTTGTCCAAGTTGCACTCTTTTGTGCTTGCTATAGAGTTCAGAGCTTTATTCCCATCCGTGTCACTTTGGCATTCACAGCCCTTCCTTTTTTGTGTGTGTGTTGGAGGGGGGGGGTACTAGGGATTGAACTCTGGGGCACTTGACCACTGAGCCATATCCCCAGCCCTATTTTGTATTTTATTTAGAAACAGGGTCTCACTGAGTTGCTTAGAGACTTGCCATTGCTGCGGCTGGCTTTGAACTTGCGATCTCCTGCCTCAGCCTCCTGAGCCACTGGGATTACAGGCGTGTGCCACTGCGCCCAGTTTCATAGCCCTTCTTGTTATATTTCCATGAAAAAAAGAAAAAAAAAAACCACTATCATAGATTCCACACTTCTGAGTTGCTGCCCCAGGTAATCCAACTGGTTCGTGTGCTTATTACAACAAAGTTGTTTAGTTGGAGTGGACTGCTCCAAACCCCAACTCTTCTATTTTCACAAACTTTTTTACTGTGTGCTTTTTGTAGAGTCTTTCAAGAATGAGTTATATAGCCATGCCCTGCATAATGACATGTCAGTGAGGGACCACATATTCATTGGTGGTCCCATAAGACATTGCTTAGTGACACTGTGGGGGTTGGCTTAGTTTATGCAAGCACACTATAATGTTGCACAGTGCTGGAATTGCCAAATGATGCTGTCCTTAGAACATTCCTTGTTAAGCCATGCATGATTCTACTGTGTTTTAGCAGAGACACTGGCTTTATTAATTGCTACCTTTTATTTCCTGATGAATTCAACTTGGTCTAGATTGTTGAGAACCTTGCCAATAAAAAAAAAAAAATTCAAATAGGGTAATTTCGATAAAGTCAAAATAGGACTATTTCAAAGATAATCATAGCCTCAGGATACAGTGCAAAGGAAGGTGCTTAGCGTTAAATAACAGCCTCAAAGAGAGAATGATCCCTGTGGACACAGGTCTAACCAGTGTGTGTAGCTAAAAGGTGATTTTCCAGAGTTCCCCCAGCTTTGGTGAAGTTGGTTGTGAGCAGAGGTGGTAGGTTTTAAAATAAATCTAGATTACTCAATATTTCTTTTGACTTCGCTTATGATGTTACTCAAAGCAGAAGTTACTGAGGGTTTTTTATCCTTTGTGTTTACCAAGGCCCTCTCACTCTCCGTGTGTGTGTGTGTGTGTGTGTGTGTGTGTGTGTGTGTGTGTAATTAAAGGGAGCCTGTCCCATAAGCTACCTGTGCAGGGCTTGGAACAAGGAAGAGAATTGTGTTTGAGGTGAGGGGCTGGTGCTTGAAACATCTCTCTCAGTTCAAAACTCTGTTGTCAACTTTTTTTTATGTTTATAGATAGTTTGTGA